TGAACCCAAAAGTCCTCTTGACCTGTGACCAAAGGCAGGGCGACCTCCTGCTGCGGACAGGACCCCGCCAGCTGCCACTGCCCCCGCGCCCCAGGGGGCTCCCCTCCAGCACCCACCTTGGTGCCCTCGCCTGGGTGGGCCGGGAGGAGGGGAGGACCGAGCTTCGTCTGTTAGACGTAAGTGAAGCAAAGCTGTGTGACCGGCCCTGGCCGTTTGAGGCCACTTTGCTTAACGCCCACCCGGCAGGGCGCTGACAGGTCCCTGCCTTGAACTCCAGCGGCCAAGCGCGTGTTTCCTGCTGCTTTTCCTTTTGGAAGTGTCCCGGGCGTGTGGTGATCTCTTTCCCTCTTCCATTCCCCTCTTCTGCAATTAGCTTGCTTGGCTCAGGAACCAGCGAAGAGAACAAAGAAAATGACCTCAGGCCTTCATTACCTCAGTCTTATGCTGCAACCGTAGCCCGACCGAGCGCAGCTGCGGCCTCCACAGTGCCGGGTGAGCGGGGCCCAGGGGCCGGCCGTGCACGGGGCGGCGGGGGGCGGGGGGACCTAGACGTGTGGAGCAGCGACCCCCCCCAAACTGCTGCCTGTGGATTTCCTCCCAGGTGAAGCCTTTGAACTCGGGTGCCTAAACCTGGCAGGCGTAGCCCCAAAACGGTTGTGTCCCTGACAAGCAGTGTTAAACCTTTGCCTCTTGGAGGATTTTGCAACTAGGTGGAAAGTTTGAGGTGCCTGGGGTGGAAGGGTGGGCGAGACCGGCCGTCCGGCTGCTTGGGGACCGTAAACGGTGGGGATTTTGGCTCGTTGGAAGCATGGTCTCTCCAGCTGGAAAGCGAAGGCAGCCTCCACGGCTCCCCTGGATTCTTGCTTTGCTGAGGTCCGGCCCCGGATCAGGGTCTGTCCCCAGAGACAGACCCTGTGGCTCCTCTCACGTCTCATTCTTGTTTTCTAGGTTACTCCGAGGACGGCGGGGCGCTCCGAGGAGAGGTTATTCCTGAACACGAGTTTGCGACGGGACCAGTGTGTCTTGATGATGAGAATGAGTTCCCCCCTGTGAGCATTCGGGATCCCTAAGAGCGGCTCAGTCTGTATGCTTGGCCGGAAACCTTCCCCTCAGGCGCGAGGCGGAGTCACTTCCCGGTTAGCTAGTCTGTAAACGTCTAATCCTCTAACATCGGGAAAGCCGCGGGGCATGCTCTGTGCCGCGCGCTTCAGACCAGGCAGATTAGCCAAGCTGGCAGCGCTAGGACAGCCGAGCACTAGTGCAGGGCGGCTGGGCGGCCTCCCTGCACTCAGAGGCCTGGAATCCTTGACCATGCTTCTTTACCCGTCTTTGCTGCTCACAAGGTAGGAACTTGCCTGTGTGAGTGCTTACTTTTCTGAGGTTCCTAGGATGCTCCCGCAGGACGCTGTCGCCCTTGTGCCAAAGCTGGTGGTCTAACAGGGCTGGGTGCTCAGCCCCCTCCAGCTCCGACAGGACACACACTAGTTAACGGCCAGGCGGAGTGCAGGAGCGGCAGCGAGAGCTCCCCCAGCCCAGGCACCTCTCGCTGGGCTTCTGGCGCCCTGCTTCAGCTCTTCTGCCGCAGGGGCCCGGGGGCTGGCTGGACGCTGGGAAGACAAGCTTGTCCCCCTGGGTGGCTGCCAGCCCTGTTTAGCTTCTGATTCCTTAAGGTTCCATTCAGAGCAGCATATAGACCCCTCTTGTGAGCTGCAGTTAGAGAACAGCCCAGACAGTCAATGGGAAAGTGTTTAGAGGTGGAAGTGGTATTTTGGCCAAGACTTGGGAGAGTCAACTGAGTGTCCCTCCTGGAGGCAGAGAGAAGTAGCCACTGGGCACAGGCCCTGGTGTGCAGCGTCTTCGCCTGATCATTATTTCCTGTCAGTTGGATTCCATTTACAAAAGGATGGAGTGTGGGTCTGGCTTCCTTCTTGCGTAGATCCTTGGGACAATCTAGCAAGCACAGTCAGCTTAAAAAAAAGAAAAAAAAAGAGCAAGCTGCCACGGGGCCCTTTGTGCAGGTCTGAAGGGCTGTGTTCGCGATCTCAGCTTGAGATTGTCATTTCTGGCTCTTAATGGGCAGGTTGCCAAATACAGTGCCAACCAGTGAAGTGTATATTTTAAGGGTGGAGAGCAGTCGTTCGTAAAAACATTAATAATGTATTTTAAAACATCTGTTGGCTTGATGCCTTCTGATAAACCAGTTGTTTTGCCATTGGGTTCTCTTGCCCCAACTGGCTTTAGAGGGAGTTTTTCTGTTTCTCCGAAGTTGGTGGTTAATTACTTGAAGTTGCGTCTTCCGGGAACCAGAGCAGGTCCGGTGCAGCGGGGATGAATGTGACGGTCCTGCCCGTGGTGAGGTTCCATTTCAGCAATTTTGGTAAAAGTCCGTGGCTGCTTATAAAAGATCGTCAGATTCTTAGATTCTAAACTGTAATCAGAGTAGACCTCGCAGCTTCTCACGTTTACAGAATCAGGATACTTCGGATGTTGGCATTCAGGAAGCAACCCCTTGCCAAAGAAAACCTGTATCAAATAATAGGTACACCCTGCAGATCATTTGGAGTGGGGAAAAAAAATTAGGGATGCTTAGAAACTAGCACTAAAACGTGTCGAGAGGCCAGTGTGCCTACACGCCGCCCGGAAGCCGGGTACGAGCTGTCTGTCCTCTCTCCCTCTTAAGGACCAAATGAGTGAAAGTTGGCTTCAGTCGCATTGGGGATTTTTATTTATACACAAGGAAGGCTTCCTGTCAGTGAGAGTGCTGATCACTGAACGAGGTTCCCCAGAACGGTCATTGGGCCCCAGCAATTTCGGAGCAGGCCCTGTGTGCAGAGCTGGTGGCGGGTGTCTCAGAGGCCATCAGACCCCAGCCCTGCCCTCAAGCCTGCAGGTGGACGGTGAGGAGAGGGCCATGCTCCCGCAAGACAGCAACGTGGTAGCAGGGGGCTCCTCCCTCTCGCCACACGAGGGTCGGAGGCTGGAGTGTTGCTGGGATGTTCTTGCAACAGGGACCACCTCAGTCACGCCCTCGGTGGCAACAGTAGTCAACTGGAGATGCTAGACGCCTTCCCCCCTCTGCCTCTGTTCTGAATCATCAGGCCTATTACCAGTACCTGTCCGAGTCCGCATCTCTACCCATGTTCCTTAAAAATTTCCGGGATCACGCGTGGCTCTTGGGGCTCTCAGCTGGGTTAACGTCCCTTCTCACAGACTCCAGCGTAGTTTGGCCCGGGGAGTCTCACAAAGGGCTCCCAGTGGTCGTCTTCAAGCGTACTGACCCTTCCCTGGGCATGGTCACTCTTACCTCCTTGGGATTTACTTTGCTGCAACAACAAGGCGAGAAGAGAGACCTGATCCTCCCCAGTCCCTTGGAAAGATGCTGTATTCAGGAGGGGAGCCGCTTTCATTTCAGTAACAAGCCAACCTCGACAAGTCTGCATATTTTCTGACACTAGTCTTCCTCTTGGGAGCAAGAGTAAGGGAATTGGGGCCAAGGGTATTTGCTGGCTTTCTCATGGTGATGAAGCAGTCTGTGTTTACACGTAAGATGAGCCTTGTAGAAATAACACACACACACACACACACACACATGCACGCACGCATTCAAACACACATATCCAAATACACACCCATCTGTTTTACAAGTAGCATTTTCTGACTATGCCACCCCCGTCTCCACCTAGGTAAGACTGGTGAACTTTCTGTGGCCATACAGGAGGGTCAGTCTGTGGATGTTCAGGAAGGCTCTGCGGGGCCCAGCCGACCCCGTGCGGGCCCAGATCTGTTGACAATGCAGCCTGCCTGACAGCCTCTTCCCGGAAAGAGTAAGGCCGTTCTGTTTTGATTTCGGTAGATAATCTTGTGCCGCGGAAGTCAGAAGGGCAAAACGAAGCACTCCTGATGGGAAGCGCACCTCAGAAATCAGGACCTCCCCTGTCAGGGGGTTTTGGAGGAAGCAAGGAAGGTGGAAGAAAGGAGTGCGAGTGTGTGAGCAGAATGGGGGGCAGGAACCCCAGGTGCCGCCTGCTTAAGCCACGGGACACAGTCCACGGCCCAGCCAGCTCTTCTCAGCCCTGGTTGCCCGTGGGTGCGGGAGACACGGTGCACACACGTCCTGCCACTGAAAGCACGTTACAGCCGTAGAGCCCATGCGAACTAACCATATTGGTCCATAACCCGAATTTTATATTTAAAAAGGGCATCCTTTTAAAATGTCTGCTGTGTAAACGTGTACTTACAGGAAAACCTCTTCGAATTGTACTTCTTGTGTATTACATGCCTAGAGAGAGAGAGAGACTATTTTAGCCAGGCAAAGTATTTTTGCAGTCATTGGAATAAATCATTTATTACCTTTGAGTCCCATTTAGGACACTAATAATAAAATCATGGCAATGCACTTTTGAGGCTTTAAAAATTTATTTCTTGGTGGCGTTAGGAAGCAGGAAGAACTCCTAAAATCTTTAAAATACAGCCAGTTGACCTGTAAAAGGGGGCGGGGGGGGCGGGTAGGGACTTGGAGTAATGTGGGCACTTCTGCTCTGAGACCTGGAAACGGATCTAAGTTTGTCAGGTCTGTGTCCACGCTGCTCATGGCATTCCGGGGGGAGCTTCCTAGATGGGGAGGGTCTCAGCACCCCCCCAGGCCCACTTTCACAAGCCCCCAGGTGATCTGTATGCACACAGAGACGGAGAGGCACCGCCCTAGACACCAGCTGGGATGAACCTGTTAACATGACCAGCGAAACTGGGTGCGTTGAAAAACTGGCAGTGTATCGAGCGCCTGCTCTGTGTCGTCTAATACGCCCAGCATTTTTCATATATTGCCCGTTTAATCCTCAAAATCAGCTTGCAAGTTAGGTTAAATAATCACCCACGTTCAAAAGCTGGGACCAGAACCCGGTCTGGCTCCCTCCACAGCCCCGGTGCTTTCTCTTCCAGCTCGGCGCGGAGTTTGCCCTCTTGAGCCGGCACGCGGGAGGGGCAGCAGGGGGCCGCAGAGCGGTGGCTTCAGAGCAAAATTCCAAGACTGACTCTGAAAGCACACAGAGCTGCTGTGAGGAGGGTCTGACTGCAGCTGGGATGTGAACGTGCCCCGTTTCTGGTCCCCCAACGTTCGTGTCACACGGTCTGGCAGCGGCAGGCAGCTCGCCGGGGGTTACAGCAGGGAGTTACCGAGGGATCCTGAGTGTAATCCGCTCTGGAGGTGTTGTCATCGGCAATGTCTCGAAGGACACCCGCCAGAGCCTCTCTGACCTTGGGCAGTGCCCTCCGGTACTCGGCGCTCCCCCTTTCTAGAGGCAGGGCTTCTGCTACATCGTCTTCCAGGTTAAAGATAAGGGGGGGCTCATGGTGCAGCTCGGGCCCGACGCTCCCATCGCAGGCTTTGGCTCCACCTAGAGAGAGGGTGACAACGGACACCCCGTCAAACCCAGCGTTCGCCTTACATAATAAAGAGAACTGTGATGGATTCTAAATGAATCCAAACGTCCCAGGACTCGAATACTCAAAATCATCGCTCTCCCGGTCCAAGCAATCGTCTCGAGAACCTGCGTACTCATTCCGGGAATGCTCAGTTGTCCAAAGTGATTTAGAACTTCTCCTTGGACTTGGCTTCAGAGTCAGTAGGACACTGACTCAAAATACCTTTCACTTCTACCCTTTGGGAGTAAATCTGATTTTTTTTTAATGAATTTCTTGAATACAGAGGTTACTCACCACAGCAAATCAGGCAGGGAGGCGAGGTGAGTAACTTCACCTTGGGCTGCAATTCAGATTCTTGTATGAATTAGAATCTGGCTGTTAAGGTGGTCCCCAAAGAGAGGTGATGAAATGTCTGGAGTGATGGCAGCATCCTTGGGTGTTAATGACTCAGATGACCCCCCCACCCCTGTTTGCATGCAAAAAGGTCTTTAGGTTCCTGACAGAAATGAATATAATATAACTGCATAATCAAAAGGAACTGAGGCAAAGGCTAGCCCTTGGAAATACAGGCAATCCTAAACACCCTCTTTTTGTCTCTGAGCTTCTTAGCAACCAAACATGAGTAAGGTAGACATTTACCAACTGCTCTGGGGGGAAGAGGGGCCTTTTTCTGGCTCTGAGGTGCGGGAGAACTTTTTTCCCACTGACTCCTCCTAGGGGGGACCCTGTCTGATGGCACGCACCACAGCATCCTTAGGAAAAACACAGCTGTGTGATCAGGGCAGTCCAGCTGATGACCTTGTATCACACCTTCCCTTCAAGCTGATAGCACAGAGCCCACGTGCAAGTCAGCGAAAGCAAAGCTCCACGCAGGGGCCAGCGTCCTGCCACCCGAGGACACAGCCTCCCTTCTGGGCCAGTCTGGACAGAAGAAACCTTGAAATGCTGAAGGCGAAGACTGGGTAGATCACATGCCCTTTAGGCGGCCCCTGTTCTTGCTTTTCCTCCTGCGACTGAGATTCCATTTGCTCAGCAGAAACTAAGACCTATTGCCTCTGCCTAGTGTTTGGAGTTGAAGCTGGCTCTCTGCCAATAAACAGAGGCGGCCCGAACTCTGGCAATCAATCAAGGTAAGGTTAAAGGCTTCCACTTAAGGGAAGAGTGAAGTAGCTCATATAGAACTAATCCTCCTGCAGATGACAATGTTAAGTTCCAAGCAACAGATTTAAAAAAAAACAGCCGGTTGAAGGCACCCAAAAATCATCCATGCAGGCAGAAAGGAATTCAGTTCCTGAAAGGAGGAAGCCACATTGGGTTGGGTCTTTAATTTTTTTTTTTTCTCCTGGAGACAGACCCCCTCCCAGTCAGTGCAGCAAGGAGCCCCGGGAGGAGGCTGTGGTCCCTTTGGTGTGAGGGGTCGGGGACAGAGTTCAGGGCTGCCACAACAGATGAAAATTGGTGGCCAAATCCTGGGAGAGAGCTGGAGAGGGGAAGCCTTAAAATCTGCCAGTAAGCGCCCTTCAGAACGTCAGCTGACCCCTAACTGCACGCACTTCATGTTTTCCCACTGAAGTCCCCAAAGGCTCGTGCTAGGAGCAAAGCCCACGTCCCAGAATGAAGGCACTTACCTAAGATTAAGGACAAACTCTGAAAGAGCCAGTTCTAACAAAGGACAAAACCAAGCCATATACCAACCAAAGCTCCCCAAGTTTAAGTAGTAATTCACTGCTGTGAGGAAAAAAAAACCAAAAGCAACACTCCTCGGATCACGAGTCAGAATCTCTCAATGCATCACACACAATGTCCAGTTTTGAAAAACTACTAAATAGGAAGCGTCTAGTTTCTGGTCCAGCCTGGGAGGGGCCTGGAAGTCATCCCTCCGACCTAACAAGCAAAAAGCAGAACAGACTGAAACACCGACGACTCCTCTTAGATCCATCAGAGGAGTGAGGTCACAGGGCAACCCTCTGGCCCCGCAAACTGGAGAGACAGGCAGGTGAGTCCAGAGTCACAACGCACCAGAGCAGACACCCACCAGCTGGACTCTGGGACCCAGTGCCCTGGTAGAAAAACCCAAACTGTGCCTGACAAACTGCTGGGGGCTCAGCGTGGACGAGTCCAAGCCTTCAAAACCCCATGGGGGTGGGGGGGGTCATCTTTTAGATGAAAATTCTAAAAAAAAAAAACCCAGAAAAATGAAATGCCAGTGATCAAAAACACTGTAACAGAAATAAGAATAAGGATTCCACTGATGGACTCGTTAGTAGGGTACGTGGCTGAGGGTCTCTGAGTTTGAGGACATGTCAAAAGAAGCTTCCAAAACTGAAAAGCAAAGAGGAACAAAGTCTGGAAAAAGAAAAAAAAAAACCAGAATATCCAAAAACTGTGGGAAAACTACTAAAAGCGTAGTGGGACAACTGCGTAATGGGAATACCATTAGGAAGGATGAAAGTGAGAGAAAGTAACAGAAGAAATACATGAAACAATAATGTCTGAGATTTTCTGCAAATTAGTGTCAGACGCCAAACCACAGATCGAGGAACCTCAGGGAACGCCGAGCAGGATAAATGCCTTTAAAAGACACTGTCAAGAGAATGAGAAAACAAGCCACAGACTGGAAGAAGATATTTGCAGAAGATACATCTGATGAAGGACTGTTACCCAAAATACTTAAAGAATTCTTAAATCTCAACAGTAAGAATAAGACCCAAAACCTGGACACCTCACCAAAGAATATACACAGTTAGCAAATAAGCAAACGAAAGGATGCGCAACACCATATGTCATATTAGTAGTCGCAAATTAAAAAATGAGACATCACTACACACCTTTTAGAATGGTCAAAGTTAAAAAAAAAAAAACTCCGACAATAACAAATGCTGGTGAGGACATGGAGCAACAGGAATGTCATTCACTGCTAATAGGAACGCAAAATGGTACAGCCACTTTGGAAGACGGTTTGGTGGCTTCTTCCTAAACACACTACCATATGATCTAGCAATCAAAGTTCTTGGCATTTATTCAAATGAGTTTATGTCCATACAAAGACCCTTGCATGGATGTTTATAGCATAATTGTCAAAACAACTTATTCATAATTGTGAACACGTAGAAGCAACCCAGGTGTCCTTCAGGGAATGAATAAAGTGGTACCTCCAGGCAATAGAATATTATTCAGCACTGAAAACAGATAAGCTCAAGCCATGGAAAGACACGGAGAAACTGTAAATGTTGTATTAGTCAGCACAGGCTGCTATAACAAAATGCCATAAACTGAGGAGCTTAAATGATAGAAATTTATTTTCTCACAGTTCTGGAGGCTAGAAGTCAAAGAACAAGGTTCTTGAAAATTTGGTTCCTAGTGAGGGCTCTCTTCGTGGCTTGCAGACAGCTGTCTTCTCACTACACCATCACAGGGCCTTTCCTCAGTGCACGTGCACAGAGGGAGGTAAAAAGAGAGAAGCCTGTCTCATATCCCTTCCTATATGGACACTAATCCTACTGGATCAAGGCCCCACCCCTAGGACTTCATTTGACCTTAATTACTTCCTTAGACACCCATCTCCAAATACTGCCACACTGGGGGTTAAGGCTTTAACATATGAATTTGGGAAGGACACAAACATTTAGTATATAACATTCTTCCCCTGGCCACCCCCCTGCAAATTCATATCCTTCTCATGTGCAAAATATATTCACTCCATCCTAATAGCCACCCCCCCCACAAATCTTAACTCATCCCAGCATCAACACTGAAGTCTGAAGTCCGAAGTCTCGTCTAAACATCACCTAAAACAGATGTAGGTGTGACTAATACTCAGGTATGATTAACTTCTTCCAGCTCTGAACCTGTAAAACCAGGCAAGTTATAAGCTCCCAAAATACAATAGTGGGGCAGGCATAGGATAGACACTCCTATTACACAAGGGAGAAATAGGAAAGAGAAAGAGAGAGTGATTACAGAGGATTCATCGAAAACTACATTGTTTCATGATTGCCACGGTACAGACGAAGTAAGAGGTGGCTGAGAGCCTCGGGCACCCTAGATGTGGGGAAATACGGGGTTGGTGTTTGGAGTCAGACCTTGGATTGGAATTTGTTCTCTGTCCCATAAATCTATTAATCAAGTGGTCTTGGGTGAACCCTAATGTAAACAATAGATTTTGGGTGGCAATGATGATGTCAATCTAAGTTCATTGATTGTAACAGGTGTACCTTTCTGCTTAAAGGGAAAATTGCGGCTATAAACGCTTATGTTTTTGAACATAAGAAAAGTTTAAAATTGACTGTCTAAATGTCCTCTTTAGGAAACGAATAAGGAGAGTAAATGAAAGTAAGTAAAGAAGGAAAGAATAAAAATAAAAGCAGAAGTCATGACATAGAAAAAAAATAAGAAATGAACAGAACTCAAAGTTGGTTCATTAAGAAGATTAATTGAAAAGATAATGAGGGAACATTCTGAACAACTTTAGGTCAATAAATCTGACAACTCAGATGAAATGGATGAATTATTTTAGAAATACAACTTACCAGAGCTGATACAAGAAGAAATAAAAGATCTGAATAGCCCTATACCTAGTAAAGAAATTAAATTTGTAACCAAGAACTTTTCCATCAAGAAAGCCCCACGCCCCAATAGTTTCACTGGTGAATTCAACGAAACGTGAAAGAAATAATGCCAATCTCACACAACCCCTTCCCAAAAATAGAGAAGGGAACACTTTCCAACTTACTTCACAAGGTTAGAAAAAATCCTGATAGCCAAATGCTGGAACAGACATGACAAGAAAGGAAAATATAGACAAAAATCTCAGCAAATCAAATCCATCAATATATATTAAAAAAAAAAAAAGAATACATCACAACTCAGTAGGACTTATCCAGGAAGATAAAGTTGACCTGACATTTGAAAACCAGTCGGTGTAATTCACAGCATTACGAGGGTGTGAGTATGTATGCATTTATTTAAAAAACTCATCAAATTGTGCAGTTTAGATCTGTCTCTTTCATGGTGTGTAAAGTTTCCCTTAATTGCTTTTTTTTTTAAAAAAGGAAAAACCACAAGAGAACTGAATTCTGGGCTACACACAAACAGAGACCATGCCTTTTAAGGCTCGTCCTAGTTCACAACCAAAATAAATCACATCCTCATCACAGAAGGATACATGCATCTTTTTCTAATCTAATGTAGTAGATGTCAATTCATCTTGCTTATCCAAGAGAGCACTTTTAAGGAACTGGGATGCAGATTTTCAGGGACCAGGGTTGGGGGAGGGAGGAATCAGGACACATCCGGGCGTCATCCCGTTTCATCCCACTCACAAGTTTCACCCCATCTGTTGAGATTTCCGTTCACCCGCGCTAACTCTCCTGGGAGTCTGGTGACTCCTCGGAAGAACAGGCCTCCCATGGGTATCATAATTCCTATCTGATTGTGATCACTTTAAACAGTCCTATTACTTCATAGCAACATTTATGATCCGACCATTGTGGTGCCAAGGGTTTTCTGGCAGGGTTATGACTTCTGAAATTAACTCAGCCTGGAGAAACCATACCTCTTCGATAGCGTAATGTAAGGGCTGTAATCTAGACACTTTCCATCTGAAAACATAACAGAAATCTGGACTGGTCTGCATTTTACGTTTCAGAGAATCAAAGATTCTTGTGGCATTTTTAATATCCCTCAAGTTATGAACTCAAAGGACTTGTTTTGTTTTCATGCCACATTCTCTTTGGGGTCACTTATTCACGCTCAGGGAAAATCACTTTTGTTCTTTATTGTATAATTCTTTGGAAAGCTCTCACATGAAATAACTGCATCAAATTGGAATCCACATCAGGTCCCAGATTTTGGTGGGGTTTTCTTTTGGGGGGCCGTAGGGAGCTGGTTGCTTTTTCGTTTGTCTTTTGAAAATTGTTAGGGTTCCTACTAGGTGCAAGATTGTGTGCCAAGCACATCAAGACAACAAAGACTAAATAGTGTACAGAGCTCTGAGCTTAGAGAGCTTAAAACTATTAGAAGAAATGAAACGTGTACTTAAATAACTTGCCTCGGTGGCAGAATGTGACAGAGAACGAGAGTTCTCCGTACCCTACCAGCTGGGAAGATGAGAAGGGGAGCCTGTGATCCAGGTGGCCTTAAAAGATGAGAGAGATTCCAAGATGGAGGCCAAGGAAGAGGTCCATTGCTCTGGGAGCTAAGATTTTAAACGTGGAGGGACCTAGGATGGGGGGAGTCTGAATTCAGCTGCAAGCAAGAAGCCACTGGAAGATTTTTGAGAACCATCCTGACCCAGTATCACATTCATAAGACACATGTTTAAGATGGCCCCAGGGTGAGCCAAGGAGACTTACATTTGCTGAATAGACCTCTAACATTTACTTTCTGAAACAGTCTATTGTCAAGTAAATTACACTTTAAAATATCTCTGAGCTTCCACTTAATGTTCTGCCAAACTAACATCAAAAGCGGAACAATGGAATGAAACGTTTTCCGTGTGACAAGGGACTGCATAAATGTGCTGGACCAGCTCTGAGCTTGCTGGAAATCTAGATGAACAGCAGAAAGACCTTGTCTGCATATTTGTGGGTGCAGAGGGTCCGTGTTGGGCCCTCGGGAGCTCAGTCCTTCTGCCAGGCCCACATGAGAGGTGCTGAGAGCCCCTGGAAGGAGGGCAGCCCCCACTCATTCCTGGAGGCCTGAGTGAGGGTCCAGGTGGAGCAGGCGCCCATCACTAACTCACCGGTGATGTAGAAGGCCTTGTAGCGCTCCAGGCGGACAGTCTGAAGGGCTCCATCCTCTCCGGCGGCCCCGCTGTTGGGGTGAAACAGCACCTGAGAAAGGACGGCAGTGCTTACAGATAAGAAAACCATGCTAGACGCTCCCCGGAAAGGATGACTTTCTTTGTCGCGGTCCCTGCTCCCCATCACCCTCCTCAAACCCACCCCCTGACCGTGACCCCAAACACTGACAAGCACAGGCCTGCAGTCCACACCAGCCACACCTGCGGGGAATAGCTCTTCGCCAGTAAATTAATCAGAGTGGGTGACAGCACTGGCTGGACTCCTAAGCCAGGTAACAGCTGTGTAAGCGGCAGAGTCCAGTCACAAAATGAGAATGAGAGAAACCTTGTCCAAAAATTAAGATTTTCAAGAAGACCACAGCACATGTGCTTTACAGCAAGCACGGGGTCCTCCTAAGTGGGGTGGGGGCCCTCTGTGACCGCACAGGTCACCCGCCCAGGAAGCCGACCCTGCCTGCGCCCCACCTGGGACCTGGGAACCTGCGTGTTTTAATGTTCCCAGGGGGTCTGACACAGACAGGGGGTGATCCTCAGATGTCTTTGGAAAAAAGTCTTCTTCAGCATCCAGTTGACTTTCTAACTCTCCCTTGAGCAAGGCTGGCACAAGAAGGCATCCTTCAGAGGACACCTCAGTGCCATTTCTCCAGAACTGGGCACCGCTTTTCCTCCAGACACAGATCCCCTTTGACTCCATCCTACCGAGCAAATCCCTCCTCACCAGGTCCCAGATGAAAGAAGCACCCCATGGAATGGAAACACCTAGTTCAGGGTTCCCAAGGGCAAGGTCTGGTAGAAAATAAATGACCAGCATCCTTGGTAGGTCAGTGGATTTGGGCTGGAAGCGTGAGACCGCCCTGGTATGAATCATGACCGATATATATCGCTGGAAAGGCGCTTACGTGATTCAAAGTTTCCATGGAGCTAAAAAAAAAATGAGAAACATCTGTTGGAGCAGTAAACAGCTGTGCCCCCAAGTTTCCTGGCTCTGAAAGGATGCCAAGGAGGGTGGGGCTCCTCCCACACCTGCTGCTTCCGCTCTCGTGACAACCCCTACAAGTTCCCCAGCCAGCCCGATGACAGCAGGCTCCTTCCAAACAGGAAAAGAAGCCGTAACTCAAAACCCTCACTTCTTCCAACCCTGCAGGAAGCCAAGCCTCTCACCGCAGGAGGCTGTTTTGTTTCCTTGTGGAGAGGGCAGGAAGTGGGAGACTTGGAAAAATCTATTGTCAACTGATCTATGATGTACTCAGACATCCAGAAGATGGGAGTCAAGGTCCGCTGGTTCAGATCATCGACGCGACTTGCGCTTCAGCAACAGAAATTCCATCCGACTGGGCTGCCGTGTTCAGGATGTGTATTTGGCGTTACCAGGCACTACTCCCAAAATCCAAGAGGAAGTAAAATGGCTCACTCTCCGAAACGTGGATGGATTTTGGAGAACCTGTATATGCCTTTTTTTTTCTCTCCTCCTTTGAGCAGACTGGTGATGGTGTTCTTGTTTATATCAACATAGGAAGGAGGTTGGCACAGCTACACATGAATCACAGCTGAAGAGATTTCCTCTCCAGAGGACACCCGGTCCGAATTTCAAAGATAACTTAATCTTCTGCAAACATGTTGCATCTTCCTGGTTGCCTTTCTTACCTGTTTGCTTCGTTTCATTTTGTTCTGTCTGTTCAAGCAGGGGGCATCTCCTTACAATTATGCCCAGGAGGCTGGTGCTTAAACAGCCTTCCCAGAAGGAGGGATCTCCCACCCCATCAGGTTGGGGGGGGCGGGGGTCACAGCTCTAGATCTCCAGAATCAGCCTTTTGCCAGCCACTCCAGGCAGCGTCTTTCACCACTAGGGGCCTCCCTAAGAGAAGTGATCGGCGTTGCAGAGACTAAGACTCAGCTTCTCTTTCCTCAATGTATGGTCTCCAGGGAGGTATCAAGCATTTTATGACTCAAGCAGCCCCAGACTGGTTTGGGCTGGACAGATGCAGGGCCATTAAGGAAGCCTGAGAATTCCTTGGCTAAGAATTCTGGGGCTCGGTCACAGCCACCTGGGGCAGAGATCGGGCTTGACCAGCGGTGGCACTGCAACGGGGAGCCAGTGGGACAGTTGGTGCCAGGCTGTGCACCCTCCCCTGCCCGGTTGCCATCTACCTCCTTGTGGTTGGCCTCACTGCCTAGACGCAGACCTGGCAAGATTGGAAGCAGAAGGCTCAGCAGAGGCAAGAAGAGGCACGTGGCGTCAGCGGCTGTTGGTTATGAACATCACACACATCATGGCCCAAGCTGTCCATGGGTAGTGAGAAGACCATCCAGTAGGAAAACCAACAGCTCACTATTTGCTTGTCAACCTCAACAGAGGGCCAGGCGAGGTGGCCAGAGGGTATGTGGCCCCAAGGTTGCTTCAGCTTTTCAGCTTTCGGTTACTCATTTGCAAAACAGGGAAGAACCCAATTGCTGATTTGCATTTGCAAAGGTTTTTTTTTTAACTTTTTTTTAACTGAGTTATAGTCATTTTACAATGTTGCTTCAAATTCCAGTGTAGAGCACAATTTTTCAGTTATACATGAACATACTTATATTCATTGTCACATTTTTTTCTCCTGCTGTGAGCTACCACAAGATCTTGTATCTATTTCCCTGGGCTCTACAGTATAATCTTGCTTATCTATTCTGCATATTGCAAAGGGTTTTGAGATGACTATCTAGGGGTTACTCTGAGGCTTCTTGAAACTGGAGTGGTTTTCTAAACCAACACATGTTACAATCTAGTAAGCCCAGGACATATCTAAGCGTGAACACAATTAAGTTGTGTTTATTTTAAAATGCACGTGTGTACATGTATGTATGTGTGTGTACACACAGGTATATGCGTGCAGATCAATATAATCACTCACAGTTTTACCTCCCGGCCCCTCTTCAGCAAACTCAAGACAATTTACTCTAGTGTCTTTAATGCCTGACCAGAAAAGACCAAGGCCAAATTCAGGGCCAGCGGCTACCTCTGTTGACCTCTCCAGCATCTTCAATAATATCGCATCTTCAATAACAACCCAGTGCTCGGGGAGGCTGAGCTCGGCCCACAGGTGCCGGCACCATGTCCTTTAGCTCTTGAAGATGCCATCGGCAGCTTCCGGCAAGCAGTAAGTCATGACTGTTTCCTTCTGGGCTGTGGGGTGTGGTCACAGAGCAAATCAGCCTGACTCCAGCTGCATTACCACAAATCGAACATCCCCATGAAAACCCCAAACGGTGTTGTAGCTAGTGTCTGGTGCTCCCACCCAGTTCCTGGGCCCAACCCCGTTGGGGCTTAGACCAATAACTGTCCAGCCCCGAGGGCAGGGCGCCCATGAGTCTGCAGAAAGCTGCGACTTGAGAAAGAGAGCGAGCCGTCTCCCATCTGAAAACGGAAGTTTCGCGCGAGGGAGCTGGCTTCCACCGGTGGCCTGACAACGTCAAGACGACTGCAGTCCTTGAAGCACTTCCTGGTGACCCCAATTATTCTGTTAGTAGCCGTGGTAATAAACACTCAGGAGCACCTCTCTGCTGACGTCTTCCATAACCCCCCAGGGTCACATACTGCAAACTCCCAGCCCAGAGGCGGAAACCACCTTCCTGCTTAGCTGTTGTCCTGGAGCTGGGCTTGGCCTGGAAGAGTCTGCCCCTCTAGGGGGTCAGATACGCCAGGAGAAGCAGTCCTTCTCTGGGGGCCACTCCAGGCATCATCTGAGGACCCCTAGAGTCTTCCTGAGAGCCCGCTCAGGACCAGTGTGCCAGCTGCGGGGAAGGGCAGATTCAGGAACTGCCCCAGTACTTTTGAGTCACTTCCATGTGACCCACGGCAAAGCCAGAAATAGACGCTTTGATGTGCGGGTCCCTAACTGAGAAGCCGGGCTCACCGGGCCTTCCAGAGGGGGTTCCGGGTTCCGCCGGCCTCCTTCCCTCCTCCCACTTCCTCTTCCTTTTGGCAAAAGTAAAACACACAGAGAGACAGGGAAGGGCCATCAGGCCTGACATTTCCTGGCTGTCGCTGCCACCGAGTGCTTCACAGCACCCCAAAGAGGGGACACGGGGGTGCCGGGGAGCAGAAGCCTAGTGCTCATGGCGGGGCTGGGGAGCCGTGCGGGCCGAGCCCTCCAGGAGCCAGGAGAGGTCAGGGTATAAAGACCTTGCCAGCCCTGCCACCCATGAGGTCTTCCCTTCATTCATTTATTCATCCAGTTCGCGTTTATTGCCTGCTGGCCGGGTGCCCAGCACCGTGGTGAGAGCCCTGCCCTCAGGAAGCCTCTGTTCGCGTAGGGGAGCCCCACCAGACACAACTTACAGACACAGGTCCTACATCTCAGCCAGCAGAATGTGCCAATGCCTACGTCATGTCAGAAAATTAAATGATGGTGAGGGGGAAAAAAATCATTCATTACAGGGAATAAGCATCAACGTGCGCCCACCCCAGGCCAAACTGCTCCACAGACATCTGGATTGACAAACTGGATGGATGAGGGAAGAAGAGGAGGGGAGTGGAAAGAGAGGTTCACCTCAAAGGAGTCACCCAGGGCGGTTGTCAAACTGCATCTTCATTCGCCACTTGCCAGCATCTTCTGAGGAGGGTTCTGTCTGCACAAAGGCAGCCAGGCCCCCAGGAGAGGCAGTTGCCCAGCGCCCTGAAAAGCCCAGGTGAGACACGTACCTCCGCCACTTACCCTGTGCCCACTCTGCACCCTGCCAAAGAGCACCTCAGAGGCATCCAAACCATCAAAGTGTCGGCCCCGCGGCAGTTGGGCCCCGGCCAGGGCCACCACGGTAGGGAAGATGTCCAGCACACTGCGGGAAGACCAAGACAGCGTTGGCCCCAGCTGATCCCAGGCTCTCTTCCCGGTAGCACTGTGTTGAGACCTGCCCGGACGAGCCCAGACTAGCACTGACAGACTCCTGCACAGCCCACCCCCTCTGCCCGCCTGTCCTTCCTTCGGGTCCCAACTGGATTTCTGCTCCTACGGGAGGCGGGATGGTGCGGTGGTTCAGCACCTGGGCACTGCAGCCAGGTGCTGCCTGGGCTCACATCCCAGCTCTGCCATCTAGCTGGGCCCTCAAGTGCCTCAGTTTTCTGTTCTCTAAAATGGACGTGTTAATAGTGCTGACCGCACAGGGTGGTGGTGTGGATGAAACCCATGGGTATGGCATCTTGAAGGCCTGGCACTCAGCACTCACTGGATGCTTGTATTATAATTACTCACAGGGGCACCCCTGTAGGCCTATTTAAGCACTAATGGGTTCTACCTGTCACCAACTAGGGCACTGCCACTCGCCAGGAGGGAACAGTGTGTGACAGGTGTCTGCAAGAGGACATTCACCTCCTTCCTTCCTTCCCTGGTCTTTGTGTAGAATGACATCGTGTGTGAAACATCCCATCCTCGTTCATTTAGCTCTTTCATTTCCATTACAAAATAGTAAATGTTTATAGTTGGGGGGAAAAAATGACATCCAGAAATAATAAGGAGCAGCACACAGCGTGCATCACCCAAAGGCAGCCCCTGCGAACATTCCGCTGGGTTTTGTTAATTCGGTTTTCCTTTTTAAGTCGTGCAGTAAAACCGGGCTCTACCACAGGGCCCATGTCCCCCCAGCCTGCTGTGCTCATGTCGGGGAAAAAACTCTTCAGCAAGAACAGATGGGCCGCCCTTTCAACAGAGCTGTTTACCTGAGAGCCAGACCAACTGAGAGTCAGCGGGACTTGATGGACCAGGAGGGCAGGACCAACGTGAGGCTGAACTTCCCCAGGAAGGAGGGTTGGGACCCCTGAGGCTGTGCCCAGCAGCCGGCTTCAGACTCCCCGCAGGGGAGGCCTCCAGGGCCACACCTCCTGCTTTCCTCCCGCCTGGGGTCCGGGAGGGGCACCTCGCCCTCCAAGGGGGGCTGCGGAAGGGACCTGCCACGGGGCTCCCACCACCCTCTGCCGGCCTCCTCCTCCTCCTGTCCAGGGCTCTGCCTACAACCCCAGGCAGGACCTCTCCTTTGACTCCGGTACAGACTGCTTCTGGTTTGCCTTCAGCTTTCACAGTCCACGTGGCTGGTGGCTTAGCACTTGAGATATGCACCCCAGGAGCTGGCGTCCCACACCCAGGCAAAGCCAGGAAGTGCACGGTAAGCACTTGCAGGGTACAGAACAGTCCAGAGACCTGTCCGGAGTCCAAGGTTCCTGCCACCAGTCGAGCAGCACAGGACCGCAGTGCAGCCTGAACAGACCGACGGGGCTGGCGCTGTCGGTTTGCACTTTCTCTAAACTGTGCCCCTAGGAGAGATCGGCCTCGCCGATGGGTCAGTCAGAGCCCGGAAAAGGATCTGTGTTAGATTTCGGAATGCCTGGTACACTTTCTTTCTCCATCTCATCATCGCCCCCCACCTCCACCGTCATGAAGCTTTAGCATCCTAATTACCGAGCACAGAACCCTGATGTCTCAGAATTTGGCAGGAACCTCAGAAGTACCTAGTCCACCCAGAGCACAGAGAAAAGCTTCTGGTCCACATCTCCAGCGACGTGCTAACCCAGCAGTGACTGGCCAGCAGAGGCCATCAAAAAGTCCTTCCTTATGTAATGGGGGAAACCACGCCCCCGAGGGTAGCCCTGGAGGAGGGAGGTCCTCCTGGGGGACACAGTCCTGAGGCTGGCCCCAGGCCTCAGCTTGAACTTGGAGAAAGAGCATTGGTCCCACAAGGGCCACCAAAGGAACCGCAGCTGTTCCAAACCTCAAACCCCACCCTCAGGTCCCTCTCAGAGACCCGACAGCACCGTTTTCAGGGAGCACGGGGGGCCCGGAGCATCAGGAAGACCCAGCTTCAAAGTGTGCACATCCGTTACAGAGCAGAGCGTGGCTAGAAGTGAGGGTGGGGACAAGGCCCCCTCCCCGACGCCCCCACCACTGCCCACCGCCAGATACAGGGCAGGGGTGGGGGGACCTTGAAAGGAGACATGTGGCTTGGCCTTGCCCAGGGAGGGTGACACCTAAAGCACCGGGCAGCGACGTGGATGTTGCCACTCTGCAGCTCCCACTTCCGGGACTCGCTTCTGCGCCTCAGGACAGCACGGAACCAGCCGAATGCCCCTCCCGCATAGCTGCCTGCCTTTTGGACATGAGGAGAGCCATGCGGTGCCCCCAGGGGACCATCGCTCTCCTGGCTAAGCAGCACCTTTAGCCGTTTCAAACGAGTTTATTTCAAGTCCTTCTCACCGTTCTAGTCACGGTTACTTGCCTCTGTTCTGAACACAGATGGGGGCCTCCCAGCCCCAATGCAGAGCCGACCCTGCACCTTTCTGAACGTGACTCCAAGAAATCAAGCAAGAGCTGTGGTTCCCACCCAGCATGACTTTGTCCTCCCAGGGACACTGGTGCTGCCCAGGGACATTTTGGTGGTCACAGCTGGGGCAGGAGGAGCTGCTGGCCTCTGTGGGCGGGGTCAGGTATGTCACCAAACATCCTACCAGGCCCAGGACAGCCCCCCCACCACAAAGAACCATCCGGCCTCCAATGTCAACAGCGCCACGGTTGAAATACTCCCCACTCTGGAGTTTCAGGGTCAAACCTCCAGGCCTCCTTCACGTGTGCTGCCAAGCCCTGCCCTCCGGAAGGGACATCCACTCCTGCTCATCAGAACCCTTCTGTCTGATGTGCCGTTACTGCCCCTCCAGTCTTGAGAGCCTTGCGTGACCCGTAGTTGGGCACAACAATCAATCTCCATTGAATAAAGGAATTCCCCCCATTCTGCAATTGTGCCCCTGGGCTTTGGGGTCAGGGCACCTGTAAGACCCTTCCTTGAGCTGATCACATCACAGGGGTGCACACCTGAGTATTAACACCAGCTGTATCTAAAGGTAACCAATAAGATGAGTGTGGACCCCTCCTTCCCCAACCCCCAAATGTGATTATATCAACTTGTCCACTGTCTGGTGGCCATAACGCCTCAGGGCCACTGGGATGTGGGCTTGGAGGGTTCTGGCCTTAGCTTGGGGTGGCTGAAGGGGGTTTTCACTGATCTGGAAGGAGATCTATATCCTCTGAGGAACTAGAGTAAGTGACAGGATAGGTGATTATGAACCACAACAGTGGGAGTGCCTGGCTGGGCATCCAAGAACAGGACGCGTGAGCTTCAGTTTCTTGAATATGGATCATACCATCCTGCTCCTCAGAGCCGACCCCGGGGAGTCCTGCCAATCAGCATGCCCCACCCAAGTCTGCTTCTCATAGATTCACGTGGGAAAAGAGCAAGAGGATGAATTCTATGAAGACAAACTGTCCTGCTACAATCAAGACTAATTTATCACCAAAAATACCTGCCAAGGGGCTGATCGGTATTGTCCTGGTAAAATTCCAGGAGCCCCCTAAGCAAATGTTACCTTGCACCAAAACAACTTCCTTTGGCTACTCACCAAACAATCCCCTAAGTCACCTGTCACCCCTGAGGCCTGAAATTATCAACAAGATGATGCAGTTTTATCTCTGGTGCCGTAGCTGACTGTAGGTACAAACGCCACTCTCAAATGAGAAGCGCATGCTTGGTTTTTGGTGATGTAACCTGAGAGACGGCTGAGTGATTTGTGCACATCCAGCCCAGCCCGTGAACACTTGGCCTGACTGCACTGAGTCAGCCCCATAAAAAGCAGCCCGCCTGGCCCTCTTCCTGGCCGGGCTGACCTCCCAAACTCCGGCGTGAGCTGTTGCTGTCACACCTGCTCGCAACCCCCCACCACTCGACAGTACAGGGCCGCCTGGCAGTTCCTAAGGGCCCAGAGGCTGCCAGGGACAGTGCCTACTCGGCCCCTACGTCGGCCATCACAGCTGTTTGCCCTTCCTTTCCCCTGGACTTCAGGGAGCCCACTTCCTCTCCATCCCCGTCCCTCCGGGGACGCTGGAGGAAGACACAGAAGCTTGCTTTCCTCTACCAGGCTGTATTCTTTAGGCCAGAACCCGTTTGGTTAACGGTAAAGGACCTTTGGAACTAGTACATTAGCGTTTAACCAGAACAAAAATTCCAAGCACGTGAACAAGCAGCTGTTTCTACGGAGGACACCACCCCCACTGTCCATGAATACAGGGTAGAACCGCGGAGGGGACGTCCCCCCAGACAAGGGAGAAGTCCCCATTGTAAGTCACGGTTGCGAAGCTGCGTGGCATTGCCTTCAGAAGGGTGCACCTCAGCCAAGTTCTGTGCCAAGGAGATGGCCTCCTGGATCTGCCTTAATAAGGAGATCAGAGGGATCCTGAGATTTTATCACGTTTACAGTCATCCTACGAATAAAAGACGCACCTCATTATAGAAGCTTCTTTGCCAGAGGTAGGAACACTGTCCTCACCTAAGGATTCATTCCTTCCCTACCAGCCCGGTGGACCCAGCTCCCCCGCATCCTGCCCTCCAGGGCACGAGAACACCTAGACTCCTTTCTTGGGGCCACCTGATCACCAGCGACATGATAGCTTGACACAGCCACCCCTAGGACGCCTGCCCTACCCTCAAGGAAGGAGTAATCCTGGCTCATCCTGTAGATGAGCCATTCCCTCCTGTCAGCTTGGCCCAGGCCAAAAGGGGAGATGAGGGTTCTGCCCTCCTGTCAACTGCCTCCACCCCATCCCTCTTCACAGAGACATGATCCCAGAGGATGGCTTGCATTATTGCTCCATGCTGCTACTGTCAGAGTCTGGGAAGCATCAGGGGACACCCGACCGAGGCAGGTGATGGACAAGTCTCTCTTCCCAAGGTCTCTAGCCACTCAAGCGCCCATGACCTTTCCTTACATCCCAAGGGAGTTTGGGTCTCTTACCTTAACAGAGCGGTGCTGGTGACATTGCTGGAGACTCTGCCGGGCCAGTAAGCCAGAGCCGGGACCCGGTGCCCTCCCTCCCAGGTGGTCTGCTTGGCCGGACTTCCCCCTGTGAAAGAAGGGGAGGCAGCTGGTTCTCTGGGGAAGCAGTGCTCCTCTACAGGGACCTCTAAGGGCTTCCAGTAATTCCAGCAAAGGAACGACTGCCTTTAGGAACCAGCTACTTTGATTCCACTAGTGATAGCTTTCAGTATGTGTGCTTTTATTCTACTGGACTCAACACGCATAAATAGCTGCCCGTGGCACTCTCTGATAATAATGTCTTCATGCCATTTTTAACACTTCACATTGTCTGGCTTGTTTATTGACTGGCCTGTGGTGTGTCCGCTCCCCACGAGACAGCATCAGTCCTGTGCACCCAAGACACAGTTGGTGCTTACATATATCTGTTGAATAAGTGAATGCCTTCCTGCTGATCACGAAATGACTGTCTAGGATGGAAAAATAAAATTACTTGGAAAGAGATAAAGGCAGAAACTCCCCCAGTTATTTGGTCCGCCCAGCACCCAAGTGATCTGGCAGAGATTTTGTTGTATTTCGTTCGCTCTGCTTTGCATTTTTTTTCTTGGTTTGGTTTTTTCTTTTTTTCTTTTCCTTTTTTGGTTTTGAGTGAATGAATGACTTGTTCCTGCGTTGTGGAGACAGCGTTCATAATAGCTCCAACCTCTCACCTCTCGGCGGGAGGTAAGAACAACCTATGTGCAATCTATGAATTTCCACTTGGTAATTAAGGGAATTATTTTTGTAACCACGAAGTCAAAAGTGACCACCAGGATAATGATGACCAGCGGGCTGGAAGGGATGAGGTCATGTTTCATGGAAACATCCTGAATACACGTTGCGTTGAATTAACCGTGACCATCCCCACCACTCCCACACACACCCCAACCTCATCCCAGCTGAGCCAAGGATTCCACAAAGTTAGCGTGTAGCGAGCCCTTCCAAGGCAAACGCTGTCTGTGCCTCGCACATTCCGTGGTCATGCAACTTCCTTATGTTTGGCTGGCGTGAGTAACAAAGGCGGGGTGACGGGAGGGAGGGGGCGAGGAGACCAAGGCTTCTGTCACTCGGCCCTCACCCTGAAGCAAACAGAAGCTTTGATGTCCCTGGCCCAGCCACAGCACCGGAAATGCTCAGCATTCCTGGAATTTTCTCATAACCAGCTTTGGAGTCCCCCGAGTGTGGAAGTAAGAAACAAAACACAAAACAACTCAGGTTGTATGGACTGTTTATGTCGAGGGGTGTAGGGCTCAAGAAGCCACGTGGAGTTGTGTGGGCTGAGTGGGAAGCTCTTTGACTTGGCCCAGGACTTCTCAAATACCTTCTTCCTCTCCAGAGCCATGCCTCCCAGGAACACCTAGAGAGCCCACCCCCGACCACTCACGCGTGCGGAACAGACCCCAGCGCCACGCAGAAGGCACGTGCACGTGGCCCTGGAATGCATGACTTACGCTGCAGACACCGCGGCTTCAGGCCAGAGAGCAGGGCGGAAGCCTCTATGATCGCACGTGCTCGGGCTCTGCGGGGAATTCCTCCCCCACGAGAGGCATGTGTATGGAAGCTTGGGGAATAGATGGGTGAAAATATGGAGCCCATTTATTTACACGCTCCCGGAGCACAAAACTCAAACGGACTTGCTTACTCAGCCTTTGAGGCCAGATGCTAAGCAAAGGCGAAGGTTTCAATTCAAGAAACAAGCCGGTCGTTCCGAGGGTCAACCAGAAGGCCAGGGCTGGGGGCTGGCACTGTGATTGGCTATGGGCACCAGAGTCAGCACGCAGGGCTGGGTCTCTGCCTCAGAGAAGTTTTCAGAAGGGTACACGAGCCCCTAATTAATAAGTCTTCACCACTAGGAGTTCTGCTCATTTGCCATAATCTTTTGTATTGTTCTTTTTCAGAGGATTAACTTTACTAATTCGTTTTCAGAGAGAAGTATTTCAATGTGTTTGCCCTATTTCAGCACAGAGTCGGAAGCTTGGAGAGGGTATGAGGAATTCAGCTAGTTATAAAACGTGAATGTGTCAACAGGGTGGGCTTACAAAGATTCAGTTGAGACAAACAGATAAAGTAGGTTGGCAGCGAGAAGCCTCTCGATGTGGACACATGAGGGGAAATCCCCCACTGTGTCGTCAAGACTGGCCAGCTGGTACTGGCTATACCTTGAGTTCTGGCTTTAACAGAAAGGACACAGTTCTCTATTCCAGCCATGCCCACAAACCTTGTACTTGAAAGGAATTTATCTTTAAAAAGTCCAGAGTGTGGTAAGCAATTATAAAAAAAAAAATCCCCCACAGCGTGGACATCATCTCACTCCAAATTCCGGTATCTCACTGGCACTGCTAGGGGTGGACCAACTTAAAAAGAGTTGACCAGCATTCTCCATGGGTCCCCAGGGTTGATGCTTAATAACCAAGCATCTGATTATCAGAAACATCTAACAGTGTGTGTTGTGGTTTATTTGCACCAGCATATACTGAAACCCATGGTAGCTGGCCCAGGTCCCCTAATTCTCTTCTTCAGTGATACCTGCTCCTACTAATGGAAACTCATTCCGAGTTAAACATAATAATAACGGCAACCATAATCTCTCCTATTGTTTGAGCCCTTCCTAAGCACCAAAGTAAGTGCACCTAAGGATAATGCTAAGAGTTTCTACCATTATCTCATTTAATCCTCATGACAACTTTGTGAGCCAGGCACTATTAGCCCCATTCCACAGATGAAGCTCAGAAAGGTTAAGTAATTTGTCCAAGGTCACACAGCAAGCAAACAGGAGAGTCAGGATATGAATCCAAGTCTAATGACAATGCCAGCACCCTCACCCATTAAATCTTCTAGGACCTTCTAGGACAGCGGTTCCCATCCCTGAATGCATATTCAAATCACTAAGGAAGCTTTTGAGAAATACCCATGCCAAGGTCCCTTTCCCAGAGATTGTGATTTAATTGGCTTGCGGTGGGGCCTGGATATCAGTACCTTATAAAGCTCTCCTGATGATTTAATGCAGAGCACACCTGTTCCAGGGCAAAGGTGAGGAGGGCAAAGGGCAAAAACCAAAAAGTGGACACCATGCTTTTCGAAACTAAATGTAGCTTATGTGCTTTCTGATGACAGGGTTTATATTGCATGCACCTTAATACCTTTATGCCACGGGATCATAAATGTGACCCTATACGTTATCCTGAGTAAGAACAATAGATAAATCCCTAAATTAAAATAGGGACTTTTTAAATTTCAAAATCCATTCGTTAGCTTGGAGCAACCTTACAACTTCGATCAGTGGCACTGGCACATGAAAAGTGTCAGTGGCGTTTGGCTTTCCGTCGGGGAAGGCACATCTCAGGGTCATGAGAATTCATTTCAATGCACTTGTGGTTAGTTATGACTCTAATTAAGGCAGAACCTCTTACTTAAAGCAATAAATATTTAGCCTCAGCAACCAAAATATAAACAGAACCATGATTCATGAATTTGCTTACTTGTTCTTCCCTGGCTACGGAAGTGAAACGGCATTCTGTGATGCATCAAGGAAAGGGCAGGCTGAGGAAGACTCACCACAGCCTACGCTTAGGAATAGTGGTCCCTCCCAGGAAGGACCCAAAGGCCATGTTTCTCTGAGTCAGAAAGGCAGCGATGCTCAGACGGAGGCTGGCAAACTTCTCCGTACGGGGAGCCGCCTGCAGGACCCCCCGGAGATTCTGATTTCCTAAGTCTTGGGTGGGGCTCTGATTCCAGGTCATTCTGACACCAATGGTCTGAGGACCAGAATTTGAGAACCATTAGTCAGGTAGATGGGAGGACGCCTTTTCATTGCGAGGCCCTGGGCAGAATTCTTAGCAACCCTTGGTCTGAACCTCCCCAGCCACGAAGTGGGGAGGGGGGTGGAAATGACTGTACTGACCTCATGGGATTCTGGGGAACGTTCCCGTGAGCTAATGCATATAAAGTTCTCAGTCAGGTCCTCTCCCACAGTGCCTACCACGGAAGTGCCCAACACACGCAATCCAAAAAACCCCCAGCAAAACAAAACCAAAAACGCAACAAAATTACCTACAGAGAGACAAGAGCAGAAGTTGCAAACGCAATCCATATGCTAAACTCCGCCCCCTTGACGGTTCGGTTTGGCATAAATCATATTTTTTATATGACTTTTTTTTAAAGCAGTCTAGTTTTATGTACTTGGGGTGGGGGGAGAGGGGAGGTAATTAGGTTTATTTATTTTAAT